GGCCCTATAGATTATTTAACTCTAAGGAAAGGTGTCTTTACATTGCAAAGATTCAGCAATTACCACCTTAACTGAGTGACCAAACTTAGCTTCCACAGTGCTGGGGAGACATCATATGTCTCCTGATTTGAGGCAACAAGAAGTATATAGATTTAACTATGTAGTCATTTTGTTTGTTTGTTTGTTCTGCGACATAGTCTCGCTCCGTCTCTCAGGCTGGAGGGCAGTGGCGCGATCTCTGCTCACTGCAACCTCTGCCTCCCAGATTCAAGCGATTCTCCTGCCTCGGCCTTCAGGGTAGCTGGGATTGCAGGCATGCGCCACTGTGCCTGGCTAATTTTTGTATTTTTAGTAGAGACGGGGTTTCACCATGTTGCCCAGGGTGGTCTCGAACCCCTGACCCCAGGTGATTCACCTGCCTTAGCCTCCCAAAATGCTGGGTTTACAGGTGTGAGCCACCGCACCCAGCCATATTCTTAATAAAAATTGTTTAATGTGAATCTAACCATGAGGAAACAATGAGGCAAAACCAGAATGTGAAACATTTTTCTGGTGTTGAATCTTTAAAAAAAAAAATTACGCATTAAAAAAACCCAAAAAATTATAGTTGGCCAAGTGCAGTGGCTCACACCTATAATCCCAGCACTTTGGGAGGCTGAAGCAGGTAGATCCCTTGAGCCCAGGAGTTGGAGGCCAGCCTGGGCAACACAGTGAGACCCCATCTGTATTTTATATAAAAAGTCATTTAGCTGGGCGTGGCAGTACATGCTTATAGTCCTAGCTACTCGGGAGGCTAAGGCAGGAGGTAGAGGTTGCAGTGAGCAGAGGTCGTACCACTGCACTCCAGCCTGAGCAATGGAAGTAAGACTCTGTCTCAAAAAAAAAAAATTAAAAATAAATTTAAAAATAACAGCACTATCTAAAAGGAGACTAAAGAGAAATAACTAAATTCAATACACGAGAACATAGGGTGAGAAAAAGATGAAACAGACATTTTAGGAATAATTGGTAACATTTAAATTTAAATATTTGAATTACTGTTATTTTTTAGTGATAATGATATTATGGTAATATAGGAGAATGTCCTTATTTTTAAAGCAGAGGCCTGCAAATATTTAGAGGTGAACATCCATGATGCCTGTACTTACTTTCAAATGGCTTAGAGAAAAAATGGTGCATATGTGGATATGTCCCAGTTATTAAGCTATTATGTCCAATCTCAGTAATCTGCACTCTACTTTGGGGCCAGAGCTGGGACTTTCTGCTTCGCCAGTTAGCTCCGTGAAAGGCTTTACATCCCCAGGGTTCTAGGAGAGAAGGCAAGGATGGAGGAAGAAAAACTGTGTTGGTTTTTTTTGTCTGTATCCTAATGACAATCTACATGCAGAAGGCTGAAGTTGGGCCTTTATATCCAAAAATTAACTTAAGGCCGGGCGCGGTGGCTCACGCCTGTAATCCCAGCACTTTGGGAGGCCGAGGCGGGCAGACCACGAGGTCAGGAGATCGAGACCATCCTGGCTAACACAGTGAAGCCCCGTCTGTACTAAAAATAGAAAAAAAAATTAGCCGGGCATGGTGGTGGGCGCCTGTAGTCCCAGCTACTTGGGAGGCTGAGGCAGGAGAATGGCATGAACCTGGGAGGCGGAGCTTGCAGTGAGCCCAGATTGCGTCACTGCACTCCAGCCTGGGTGACAGAGGGAGACTCCATCTCAAAAAAAAAAAAAAGTCGAGTTCATCATCTATTGCTAGGCAAGAATAATTTTGCTATTACTGTTTACCACAAACCTTTTGTTTGAACTAGGATTTTTAGGTTTAACCTAATTTAAAACAAAAACAGATGCTGGGCATGGTGGCTCATACCTGTAATCCCAGGACTTTGGGAGGCCGAGGCAGGAGGATCACGAGGTCAGGAGATCGAGACCATCCTGGCTAACACGGTGAAACCCCGTTTCTAATAAAAATACAAAAATAATTAACCGGGCTTGGTGGCGGGCACCTGTAGTCCCAGCTACTTGGGAGGCTGAGGCAGGAGAATGGTGTGAACTCAGGAGGCAGAGCTTGCAGTGAGCCGAGATCGCACCACTACACTCCAGCCTGGGTGACAGAGCGAGGCTCCATCTCAAAATAAATAAATAAATAAATAAACAAAGCAAAAACAAAAAAGAACAAGCTCTATGGTGTAGCAGACAGGCATAGGGTTTTGCCTTCATATTTTCTGGACTAGAGTAAATGTAGAACAGGCAAGCATACCTCTTAAATTAAATAAAATCATTCCTAGTTTTTCTTTTTTGTATTATTTGACCCAGACTGGAGTGTGGTGGTGCAATCCCAGATCACTGCAACCTTCGCCTCCCGAGCTCAAGCGATTCTCGTGCCTCAGCCTGCCGATAGCTGAGACTGCAAGTGCTTGCCACCACGCCCGGCTAATTTTTGTATTTTTTATAGATATGGGTTCCACTATGTTGCCCAGGCTGGTCTCAAAGTCCTGGACCAGGTGATCTGCCCACCTCAGCCTCCCAAAGTGCTGGGATTACAGGTATAAGCCACCGCGCCGAGCCCTATTTGTGACTTTCGTATGTTGTATTTAAATATTAATAAAATCATATTTGATACTAACTTTGTTTTTACCTCATACGTAGCAAAGATAAATAATGGTTTCTAAGATTTTCATATATTCAAACACAAAAGCGTTATACTGAGTCACAATGTAAAAGGTATTTCTTATTGTGGGTCTTTGTAAACAAAAATTTTAAAAATACTTGTAAACATTCTCCAGGGCTTTTTGTTCTGTTTTTTTGTTTTTTTGAGACAGGGCCTCACTCTGTCACCCAGGCTTGGATGCAGTGGGGCCATCACGGCTCTCGCAGCCTCGACCTCCTGGGCTCAGGCGGTCCTCCCTCCTCAGCCTCCCAAGTAGCTGGGACTGTGGGCATGCGCCACCACACCCAGCTAATTTTTGTATTTTTTGTGAAGACAGGGTCTTCCCGTGTTCCCCAGCTGGCCTCCTCCTGAGCTCAGGCAGTCCTCCCTCTTCAGCCTCCGAAAGTGCTGGAATTACAGGCGTGAGCCACCGCACCTGGCCATTCTGCAGCTCTGTGATTTCTTCTTTGATTCAAGAGTTGCTTAAGAGAATTTTTAGTTTCCATGTCATTTGTGTTTCTACTTTTGTTATTCGTATTTTACTTTATGGCATTATAGTCAAAGACAATAGTCTAGGTTATTGTATATTATTTCTTTTTATTGGAAGATGGGTATATTTTTTGTTAGTATGTGTATATGTGTATATGTCTCTATATGTGTTAGCTCAGCTTTATTTTATTATGTAGCGCATTTATATATTTATTAAACTTTTTAGTTGGAAATAATTTCAGACTTAGTTGCAAAAATAGTACAAAGAGTCTGGGCACAGTGGCTTACACCTGTCATGCTAGCACTTTGGGAGGCCGAAGTGGGCAGATTGCCTGAGCTCAGGAGTTCAAGACCAGCCTGGGCAACATGATGAGATCCCATCTCTGCTAAATATACAAAACATTAGCGGGCGTGGTGGTTCACACCTGTAATCCTAGCTGCTCCCGAGGCTGAGGCACAAGAATCGCTTGAACCCGGGAGGCGGAGGTTGCAGTGAGCCCAGATCATGCCACTGTTGCACTACAGCCTGGTGACAAAGGGAGACTCTGTCTCCAAAAAAAAAAGTACGAAGAATTGGTGAATTCTTCCAAATTTGGCAAGTGTTCATGTTTTACTACATTTACTTTATGATTCATTCTCATTATCTCTCTTCTTTTCTGTCAGCCACTCAAGTATTTTCAGCAGTTGAAGTGGAGAATACTCCTTGGTTCGAAAGACACCATATATTAATCTCATTCTCCAGACGCAAGATCCTGGCTGGGCACAGTGGCTCACGCCTGTAATCTCAGCATTTGGGAGGTCCAGGCAGGCGGATCACTTGAGATCAGGAGTTCAAGACAAACCTGGCCAAAATGGCGAAACCCTGCCTGTACTGAAAAAACAAAAATTAGCTGAGCGTGGTGGTGCGTGCCTGTAATCCCCACTGCTCGGAGAGGCTGAGGCAGGAGAATCGCTTGAACCCAGGAGACAGAGTTGGCAGTGAGCTGAGATTGTGCCACTGCACTCCAGCCTGGGTGACAGAGCGAAACTCTGTCTCAAAAAAAAAAGAAGATATTTATGATGTATGATCCGAGGGATGGTTCATTGGCCAATAATTATGAGATAAAGAATAAAAAATTAGCATTCAGTCCTCTAAATAGAGATTCTAGCCAGGCGCGGGGGCTCACACCTGTATTCCCAGCACTTTGGGAGGCTGAGGCAGGTGGACCATTTGAGGTCAGGAGTTCGAGACCAGCCTGGCTAACATGGCGAAATGCTTTCTCTACTAAAAATACAAAGATTAGCTGGGCATGGTGATGGACGCCTGTAATCCCACCTACTCAGGAGGCTGAGGCAGGAGAATCACTTGAACCGGGGAGGTGAAGGTTGCAGTGAGCCGAGATCATGACGCTGCACTCCAGCCTGGGTGACAGTGAGACTCCATCTCAAAAAAAAAAAAGAAAAAGAAATTCTGCTGATCATTTGAGCCTAGGAGTTCAAGACCAGCCTGGGCAACATGGCAAAACCCCACCTCTACAAAAAGTACAAACATTAGGCAGGCCTGGTGGCACACATCCTCCCAATTAGTGTAGCTACTCAGGAGGCTGAGGTGGGAGAATCTGAGCCTGGGAAGTCAAGACTGCAGTGAGTGGAGATGGCACCACTGTACTCCAGCCTGGGTGACAGAGTGAGACCCTGTCTCAAAAAAATTCTGGTCCCTGTGTCTCTGAGACTATGAAATTTCTTTCCTCTAATCACATTGCACAATATACACATCCTCATGTGTGCGAAATGTTTTGCAGGCCCGCTTTCTTGTTTTGAAGGCAATGGTTTGGAGCTTTCCTTGAAATAACGCATTTCTGCTGCTTTTGTTTCCTCCTCTCTTCACGCAGACCTGAGGATGAACTGTTTCTAAAAAGACTTTCTAAAGGTTACTTGGTGGGAAAGGACTCGGACGCTCCCCTTTTCTACAGAGAACAAGGAAACAAAAAATTTCAGGAGAAAGATTACACAGGAGCTGCAGTGCTGTATTCTAAGGTAAAACACTCCCAGCTCAAGCAATTTATTTGTTTATTTTTCTTTGAGACAGAGTCTTGCTCTCTTGCCCAGGCTGGAGTGCAGCGGTGCGATCTCAGCTCACCGCAACCTTCGCCTCTGGGATTCAAGCAATCCTCCCACCTCATTCTCCCGAGAAGCTGGGATTACAGGCATGCGCCACCATGCCTGGCTAAGTTTTGTATTTTTAGTAAAGATGGGTTTTCGCCATGTTGGCCAGGCTGGTCTCAAACTCCTGACCTCAGGTGTTCCGCCTGCCTCAGCCTCCCAAAGTGCTGGGATTGCAGGCATGAGCCACCATGCCTGGCCCAGCTCAGCAATTTAACAATGCATATTTCTTCAGGAGGTAGAGCCATATTGCTAAATTTCATAGCCAGTGTTACCTTTATCTATAATATATTGAATGGATTTTAAAAAGAAACCTGACAGAATTCTGCTGTGGTTATAGTCTAAAACAAAAGGTAGTTTATAGGCCCAGTGCAGTGGTTCACACCTGTAATCCCAGCACTTTGGGAGGCTGAGTCGGGAGGATCACTAGAGACCAGGAGTTCAAGACCAGCCTGGACAATATAGGGAGACCCCTTCTCCACACACAAAAAAATTTTTAAATTAGCCTGACTGGTGGTGGCAGGCATCTGTGGTCCTGAAATGGGAAATGTTCCCTTGTTCCCCTCGCAGGGCGTGCAGTGGAGGTGTGGCTCGCTTCTTCAGTGCCCTGCTGCTCAAACCTCTAGGGGAGCATACAGACGGGCAGGCTGTGGGGCTCTGACCCGAGGGCAGTGTCTAGGGTTGAATGTTTACAGCTGAAGCCACAGTGGGCGCGTGTTCCATGGTGCTACTTTAGTTTGCTGTCTCTAGGCGGCTTGTGTTGACCAGCTCGGTTAGACTCGCCACCTTGTCGCAAGGATGGGGGCTTCCTGTATCCCGGGTTCTTGCCTCGGCGTACTGGAAGAATCAGATCATGCGTGGCTTGGAGAATGAGTGCAGGGTTTTACCGAGTAGAAGTAGCTCGCAGCAGGTTGGGGAGCCAGAAGGGAGATGGTTTTCCCCTGGAGTCCGGCCACTCAGCGACCCAACTCTTCTCCAACTGCTGTGGCCAAACGCTGTGTCGTTCTGCCACCGGTCGGTGGCATGCTGGTGCCTGTCGGCTGCTCTTCTGCCGGCATACTCCTGACAACGTCCAGCTGCTTATGTGTCCGCCTGCTGGGGTCTTGGGTTTTTATAGGCCCAGGCTGGGGGCGTGGCAGACCAGGGTGGTCTTGGAAAATGCAACATTCGGGCGCGAAGGCAGGAGTGCCTGTCCTCACCTAGGTCAGTGGGCACGGCCCGAGGGTGAAGCCCTAGCCAGGGACTCGCCGTTATGCAGCGTTCCCTGCCCACCTGCCATATCAGTGTCAGCTACTCAGGAGGCTGAAGGCAGGAGGGTCCCTGAGACCAGGAGTTCCAGGCTTCAGTGAGCTGTGATAGTGCCACTGCACTAGCCTGGGTGACAGAGTGAGACCCTGCCTCAAAAAAAAAGTAATTTATGTGTTCTGAATTTATTCAAGAAACTTCTGTGTCCATATTCCTTCCGATACCTTGTAGCGGTAAGCTTACTGGCCCCTCGCCTGCCTTGCCCATGTCTGTCAGCCGCTGTTGAACTGCATGCCACTTTTGTCTGAATGTGTGATGAGACTGTTAGCTTGATGGAATCAGTCATCTGTTACTCTTGGCCAGGCACAGTGGCTCACACCTGTAATCCCAGCCCTTTGGGAGGCTGGGGCAAGAGGATTGCTTAAGCCCAGGAGTTCAAGACCAGCCTGGGCAACATAGCAAGACCCCATCTATACCATAATGTATAAATGACTCTTGTTGTCCTGCTTTCATAGTAAGAAATGGAACAAGATCGGTTGAGCAACTTCCTTCCATAGCTTTTAAGAGACTTACATGGGCTTAAAGCAGGAACGTATCAATCTCTTGCACCAGTTCTGTGACCTTGGATATTAAAAGAGTAAGTTTAAATTTGAAGGGTAGGCTGGGCACAGTGGCTCACTCATGTAATTCCAACACTTTAGGAGACCCAGGCGGCAGGATCGCCTGCGCCCAGGAGTTCAAGGCAGGCCTAGGTAACACAGCGAGGCCCTGTCTCTGTTCAGAACAATTTTTTTCATTTGAAGGGTGTGGATCCTACTCTGAATCTTTAACAGGTTTATGCTTGAACGTGCTTGCAGTTTGGGATTAATTTTCCAAAAACGATCACACCTACAACAGCAGCTTCTACAGTTGATAAAATCCCTGCTTTGTAGTGTTATAATAAAGTATTTAGCTAAATAATGTAAGCTTTAGTGATTGCTGAGGGATTAAAGTCCGTTAGGTGTAATGATCCAGTGATAAATGGCTTAATAGTTCTTTTTTCAGAGCTAATCTCTTCAACTTTATGTATGTGCATCATAAATGTGATCACATGGGAAGTTCTTCAAGGAAAACAGGGAAAATAAAAACTGAAGCCAGAGAAAAAATTAAGGTTTGCTCTGACTGCGGAGGGAGATGAGCCTGCCTATTTCATGAAGCCAGTATGTCGGTGATTACGGTGCTGTGCAATTTTCTAGAAAGCTGCTATTCTCTTTGTAAAAATATTTGTTGTTTTTATCTGATTGTAAAAGTAATATATGTTTACTTCGAAAAGTACAGAGAAGCACAAAGAGGAAAAAAACCTCATAACCCGTGATAGGCACTGTTAACGTTTTTGCTTACATCCATCCAGCCAGACTTTTTCCTCCGAAAATATGTTTTTACAAAATTGGGATAATGCTGCACCTTCTGTTTTGTGACCTGCCTTTTTCCCTCGACAATTGATTGTGCCCATTTTCTCATGTTAAATTTTCCACTGGAACACGATGCTTTACGGCTGGCTTAGTGTTCCATGACGGAGAAAAAGCCGTACTTGATTTCACATCTCCTAATGTTGGCAAATTGTTCGGGATCATAACACTGCAATGAGCATCTTTCTATGTAAATATTTGCATATATCCGATTGCTTGCTTAGGGTAAATTCCTAGAAGGGTAATTGCTGGGGCAGAAGGAATGTATTTTTTCAGGCCTTTGGTACTTGATGCTGAATTGTTCTCCAGGAAAGAACTAGTTAACATCCCTGCTGGCGGAGTACGGGAATGTTCATTTCTCCGTATCCCAAGCAGTACTGGTTGTGATGATTACAGTTTCATTATTATATCGGTTTATTGGTGAGTAGAGAATCTGTTCCCATAGATTTTAAAAGTGCAGGAGTGTACAGTGTCGTCTGCCTCTCCTGTCGCCTGACCACGTGATTTTCTGTTCCCATAAACTAGCACCGTTGAGTGTATTTCCAGAGCATACTCCAGACGTGTGTAAATACAGCCTTCCACCCCTGCACACACACCGTGTTTTTACATCCGTAACATTCTGCACATATTGTTCAGCATCATGCCTTGTCCACTTAACAGTAATAGTTTAAAGATCATTCCATTTCAGTACATAAAGAGCATCCTCAGGCCGGGCGCGGTGGTTCACACCCGTAATCCTAGCACTTTGGGAGGCCGAGGCAGATGGATCACCTGAGGTCAGGAGTTCAAGACCAGCCTGGCCCACAGGACGAAACCCTGTCTCTACTAAAAATACAAAAATTAGCTGGGCGTGGTGGGGCATGCGCCTATAATCCCAGCTACTTGGGAGGCTGAGAGAGGAGAATTGCTTGAACCCCAGTGCGGGGGGTGGGGTGGGGGGGTGTGTGGAAGTTTTAGTGAGCCAAGAACATGCCACTTCGCTGTAGCCTGGGCGAAAGAGCAGAACTCTGTCTCAAAAAACAAGAGCGTCCTCATTCTTTATTATGGCTACATGGTGTTCCATTAAATGGGTGTATCAATTTATGTAACCAGTATCCTGTGGATCAATGCTTGTTTCCTATCTTTTGCTATTTCAAACAATTCTGTGATGAGAAACTTTGCACAGGGCCAGGCACGGTGGCTCACACCTGTAATCCCAGCACTTTGGGAGGCCGAGACGGGTGGATCCCCTAAGGTCAGGAGTTCAAGACCAGCCTGGCCAACGTGGTGAAACCCCGTCTCTACTAAAAATACAAAAATAAACTGGCATGGTGGCATATGCCTGTAACCCTAGCTACTTGGGAGGCTGAGGCAGGAGAATCACTTGAACGCAGGAGGCGGAGGCTGCAGCGAGCTGAGATTGCCCCACTGGACAACAAAGAGAGACTGTGCCTCAGAAAAAGAAAAAAAAACCTTGCATGAATGTCATTTTTCATATATAACTGTATGATAAATGATTGTAGGATTAATTCCTAAAAGAGGAATTGCTGGGTCAATGGATATTTTATATGTATGTAAGAGATATATACATATAGAATTTTGACATATATTGTTAAATTACCCTCGGTAATTATGAAACCAGTGTACACCCCCACTAACCGCATAATGAGAATGTCCATTATCCCACTCCTTGACCAGCTCTGTGTGCCATCAATTTTATTTTGCTTTGCCTGATAGGTAAAAAATGGCCTTTCTGTACAGTTTTAATTTGCATTTTATTGATTGTATGAGGCTGAGCATTTTTTTTCACATATTTAAGAGCCATTTTTATTTCCTGTGAGAACTGTCCATATCGTTGCCCATTTTCCTGTTGATTTATTGGTTGTCATCTTAGTGATCTGTAGGAAATCTTGACAAAGTAAAGAAATCAGCTCTTTGCCTGTAATATGAATTGCAGGTATTTTTTCCAGTTCAGTGTTTGCCTTTTGCTTGTGTTTGTTTTTGGTGTGAAGATATTGTTTATTTTCAGGCAGTCAAGTTTATTCACCTTTTATGGCCTCTGGGTTTTGTGTCACAGTCAGGGATTCTTCCAGCATTACTTTGCATGCTTTCTATAGTTCTTCTAGTGCTCCTGTTGCTTTGTTTTTACATTAAGAATTTGATGTATTTGGAATTTATCCAGTGAAAGATTTATCACTTTATTTTGCTCATCGTCTACCTACTTATCCATATATATATGTTTATTTTATTATTATTATTATTTTTTGAGACAGAGGCTGGAGTGCAGTGGTATGATCTCAGCTCCCCACAACCTCTGCCTCCTGAATCCAAGCAATTCTCCTGCCTCACTCACCCAAGTAACAGGGATTACAGGCGTGCGCCACCACGCCCAGCTAATTTTTGTATTTTTCTTAGTAGAGATGGGTTTTTGTCATGTTGGTCAGGCTGGCCTCGAACTCCTGGCCTCAAGTGATCCACCTGCCTCGACCTCCCAAAGTGCTGGGGTTGCAGGCCTGAGCCACCACATCGGGTCTTATCCCAGTACTTTTATTGAATGCTCACCATCTTTCCTACCTTTACTTGAGTACCATATTTATGGTTATTATTAATCCTTGCCAATTTGATGATAGAAAAAAGTACTCTTTTTTGTTTATTTGTCTGTTTGTGACCATCTTACTCTGTCACTCAGGCACTATCTCAGCTCACTGCAACCTCCGCCTCCCAGGTTCAAGCCATTCTCATGCCTCAGCCTCCCAAGTAGCTGGGATTGCAGGCACACATTACCATGCCCTGCTATTTTTTTATATTTTTAGTAGAGACGGGATTTTGTCATGTTGGTCAGGCTGGTCTCGAGCTCCTGGCCTCAAGTGATTCACCTGCCTCAGCCTGGAATTACAGATAGGAGCCACCACGCCCATCCTAGTATCCCTTTTTTTGCATTCATTTTCATCTATTTGGCTATCCGTATGTGAATTAATCATTTGTTTTCTGTAACTATTTATGTTTCTCCTTGTGTGAATTTCTATGTGTGCCACCCACCCTTTGTTATATTCAGGAAATGGGATATTATGCTTGCAGGTACTTCCCTCAGTTTCTTATTCACCTTCAGTGTTGTTTGTGGTTGAAGCTGTATCTGACAAAGTGCTTTTAATACTGATGTCCTCACTTGCTCTTCACAGCTTTGCTCTCAGGTAGTTAAAACGTAAGCTGAAGCACAACGAGGTTCAGTAACTTTCCCAGTTTCACAGTCTTTAGTACAAGAGCCCGTAATATCTGAAAAATGTACTTTAGAGATGCTAGTTTCCATTTATACCTTTAACCAGTTCATTGTTTTGCAGGGAGTGTCACATTCAAGGCCTAACACTGAGGACATGTCGCTGTGCTATGCTAACCGCTCGGCAGCCCTCTTCCACCTGGGTCAGTACGAGGTGAGTATCAGATACCTAGTGTGCGTGCAGAGGATCCGGGGGGCCTTCACTGGAGGACTAGACCTTCGTCTCTGCTTCTTCCATGGAGCTCTCAAATCAGGTCATGCTGCTATTGGTTGAATCGGAAGCACATTAGCATCTACCTAAAGTTGGGCTGGGCACTCACACCTATAATCTCAGCACTTTGGGAGGTCGAGGCAGGCGGATCACCTGAGGTCAAGAATTCAAGACCAGCCTGGCCAACACGGTGAAACCCCATCTCTATTAAAAATACAGGGATAAAAATTAGCCGAGTGTAGCGTAGTGTAGTCCCAGCTACTAAGGAGGCTGAGGCAGGAGAATCGCTCAGGAGGTGGAGGTTACAGTGAGCCAAGATCACGCCACTGCACTCCAACCTGGGTGACAGAGTGAGACTCTCTCTCAAAAAAATGTAGTAGGCCAGACACGGTGGTTCACACCTGCAATCCCAGCCCTTTGGGAGGCCAAGGCAGGCGGATCACGAAGTCTGGAGTTCGAAATCATCCTGGCCAACGTGGTGAAACCCCATCTCTACTAAAAATACAAAAATGAACTGGGCATGGTGGCAGGCACCTGTAGTCCCAGCTACTCGGGAGGCTGAGGCAGGAGTATTGCTTGAACCTGGGAGACGGAGGTTGCAGTGAGCCCAGATCGCACCACTGCACTCCAGCCTGGGTGACAGAGCGAGACTCCATCTCAAAAAATATGTATAAATAACTAAACTTGCTCTTTCTCCTGAGTCATTTCACTGATCACAGGTGACCATATGGGATAGTGTTGATTAACAAGAAAGAGCTATGGGGCCGGGCGCAGTGGCTCACGCCTGTAATCACAGCACTTCGGGAGGCCGAGGCGGGCGGATCACTTGAAGTCAGGAGTTCGAAACCAGCCTGGCCAACATGGTGAAACCCCGTCTCTACTAAAAATACAAAAATTAGCTGGGCAGGTGGCGGGCGCCTGTAATCCCAGCTACTCAGGAGGCTGAGGCAGGAGAATCACTTGAACCTGGGAGGCAGATGTTGCAGTGAGTCAGTGAGCTGAGATCGTGCCACTGCACTCCAGCTTGGGTGAGAGAGGGCTCTGTCTCAAAAGAAAAGGGAAAGAGCGATGGGACATTCAATGGGGATGTGGACTGTATCCAACAGGTCAGCAGTGCTCAGTGTCAGGATTAGCTGAGTGACTAGTTGCTGCTAATACTTCAGGTTCCAAGTGTTTGCAAAGTATACTGTTTGCTTCTTTTTTTTTTTTTTGAGTCAGAGTCTTGCTCTGTCACCCAGTCTGGAGTGCAGTTACACTATCTCGGCTCACTGCAAACTCTGCCTCCCGGGTCCACACCATTCTCCTGCCTCAGCCTCACAAGTAGCTGGGACTACAGGCGCCCGCCACCATGCCTGGCTAAGTTTTGTATTTTTAGTAGAGAGAGCATTTCCCCACGTTGTTCAGGCTGGTCTCAATCTCCTGACCTCGTGATCCTCCCGCCTCAGGCTTCCAAAGTGCTGGGATTACAGGCGTGAGCCAGGCATCCAGCCGTGTCAGTGGAGTTTTTAAAACAGGAAGTGACCAAAATCAGATTAATGTTTTAGGAGGATATCTCTGAGGCATCTGGAATTTGTATTAGAGAAGTCTAAGGACAAGCTCTAAAATGCCATTTTGATACATCTGTTTCAGAATTCTACAAAAATTCAAATTGGCCGGGCGCGGTGGCTCAAGCCTGTAATCCCAGCACTTTGGGAGGCCGAGACGGGTGGATCACGAGGTCAGGAGATCGAGAGACGATCCCGGCTAACACGGTGAAACCCCGTCTCTACTAAAAAAATACAAAAAAATAGCCGGGTGAGGTGGCGGGCGCCTGTAGTCCCAGCTATTCGGGAGGCTGAGGCAGGAGAATGGCGTAAACCCGGGAGGCGGAGCTTGCAGTGAGCTGAGATCCGGCCACTGCACTCCAGCCTGGGTGACAGAGCAAGACTCCGTCTCAAAAAAAAAAAAAAAAAAAAAAATTCAAATTATACCTTAGAGTTGAGAACTATTGGAATAGTAAGAAGTCCACACTTACCTGCCCTTCAGACTAAAAGAGAAAAGCAGGAATCTAACTCTAGACTCTAAGCAAGAAAGTCCTGGACTACTGAGGCCAATGATTAGGAAGAAGAACTTCCAGTACATTTAACCCTTTATAACTTTTCTTGTTTGTTTTTTTTGTTTGTTTTTTTTTTTTTTGAGATGGAGTCTCGCTCTGTCGCCCAGGCTGGAGTACAGTGGCCGGATCTCAGCTCACTGCAAGCTCCGCCTCCCGGGTTTACGCCATTCTCCTGCCTCAGCCTCCCGAGTAGCTGGGAGTACAGGGGCCCGCCACCTCGCCCGGCTAGTTTTCTGTATTTTTTAGTAGAGACAGGGTTTCACCGTGTTAGCCAGGATGGTCTTGATCTCCTGACCTCGTGATCCGCCCGCCTTGGCCTCCCAAAGTGCTGGGATTACAGGCTTGAGCCACCATGCCCGGCCCATACTATAATTCTTCTATCCAGAAGACTTTTTTTCCTAAAAAAATAGAAATATTTAATCCAAGAACATTAAGCATACCAGTATCCTCAACAAGTATTGCTAATCACTGAAAGGATCACTCAAAACTATATGATTTAAATAAGCATGTGGTTGTAATTGTTCCATTTTTAGTAATCCTTAACTTTCCTATAGATTTTTGGAAATACTTTCAGTAAACATTGAAGACTAGGGACCAAGGGTCATTGTGGGATTTTCTTTCTGTTTTCAGACGTGTATTAAAGACATTAGCAGAGCACAGACGCATGGCTATCCAGAAAGACTGCAGCCCAAGATCATGTTACGTAGAGCAGAATGTCTGGTGGCCCTGGGGAGACTACAGGAGGCAAGCCAGACCGTCGGTGATCTTGAAAGGAACTTCACGGCCACACCAACCCTAGCAGATGTCCCCCGTCAGACTCTGCAGAGAAACCTCCATCATCTGAAAATGAAGGTACAGGAAAAGGAGAATCCCACAGAAACCTTCCCAGCAACTCTGGCCAAAACCCTTGAGGATGTGGCGCTCAGGGGAGAGAATGAACGACTTTCCAACGCCTCATCATCCGTCGGCTTGTGCATAGATCCTTTAAAAGGTCGCTATCTTGTTGCCACGAAAGATATTCTCCCAGGAGAGCTCCTGGTGAAGGAGGATGCTTTTGTGAGTGTTCTCAACCCTGGAGAACTGCCACCACCGCATCATGGCCTAGACAGCCAGTGGGACACCAGAGTCACCAATGGGGACCTCTATTGTCACCGATGTTTGAAGCACACTTTGGCCACAGTTCCGTGTGACGGATGCAGTTATGCCAAGTATTGCAGCCAGGAGTGTTTGCAGCAGGCCTGGGAGCTCTACCACAGGACAGAATGTCCTCTGGGGGGGCTGCTTCTCACACTGGGTGTCTTTTGCCACATTGCCCTGAGGTTGACTCTTGTGGTGGGAGTTGAGGATGTTCGCAAAATCATGAAGAAGCTTTGTGTTAAGATTAGTAACAAGGACATCTGTTTACCAGAAAGCGACAATCAGGTCAAGACACTTAATTATGGCCGAGGAGAGAGTGAGAAAAATGGCAATGTGGTTGAGACCCAGATTCCTGGATGCGATGCTAATGGGAAGTATGACAGTAATTATGATGCTGTCTTCAACCTTTTGCCCCATACTGAAAACCACAGCCCGGAGCACAAATTCCTCTGTGCTCTCTGTGTTTCTGTACTGTGCAGGCAGCTAGAAGCAGCCAGTTTACAGGCCATCCCAACAGGTGTGAACTCCTCTCAGCTCACAGCAGCAGTGACACCTGAGTCGTGTCCCGACGTGACTATTTGTGGAGTGGCAATGCTGAGGCACATGTTACAGCTGCAGTGTAATGCTCAGGCGATAACCACCGTACAACACACAGGTAAGAGGGAGACTGACGCTCAGGCGATGGCCACCGTGCAACACACAGGTAAGTGGCCAGATCACAAGGTCCAGAGATCAAGACCATCCTGGCCAACGTGGTGAAACCGGCCGGGCGCGGTGGCTCAAGCCTGTAATCCCAGCACTTTGGGAGGCCGAGACGGGCGGATCACGAGGTCAGGAGATCGAGAGACCATCCCGGCTAACACGGTGAAACCCCGTCTCTACTAAAAAAATACAAAAAAATAGCCGGGTGAGGTGGCGGGCGCCTGTAGTCCCAGCTACTCGGGAGGCTGAGGCAGGAGAATGGCGTAAACCCGGGAGGCGGAGCTTGCAGTGAGCTGAGATCCGGCCACTGCACTCCAGCCTGGGTGACAGAGCAAGACTCTGTCTCAAAAAAAAAAAAAAAAAAAAAAAACATGGTGAAACCCCATCTCTACTAAAAATAAAATTTTAAAAATTAGCTGGACGTGGTGGTGGGTGCCTGTAATCCCAGCTACTCGGGAGGCTGAGACAGGAGAATCACCTGAACCCGGGAGGTGGAGTTTGCAGTGAGCCGAGATCGTGCCACTGCACTCCAGCCTGGGTGACAGAGCAAGACTCCGTCTCAGAAAAAAAAAAAAAAAATTATTTGATCTCGTTCTGCCCCAGTGTCTCATATGGAAAATGGGTAGTTTTATCCCAGCTAACTTTACAGAGTTGTGCAAAGCTATGTTTGTAAAATTCTTTTTAAATTCTTTAAAAAGTTCATGTTGCTGACAAAAAAAAATTTTTTTTTTTTGAGACAGAGTCTTGCTCTCTCCCAGGCTGTAGTGCAGGGGTGCAATCTTGGCTCACTGCAACCTCCACCTCCCAGGTTCAAATGATTCTCATGCCTCAGCCTCCCAAGTAACTGAGATTACAGGCATACGCCACCACACCTGGCTAATTTTTTTGTGGTGTTAGTAGAGACGGGGTTTTGCTATGTTGGCCAGGTGGGACTTGAACTCCTGGCTTCAGGTGATCCAACTGCTTTGGCCTCCCAAAGTGCTGAGATTACAGGCATGAGCCACCTCACCCGGCCTTTTTTTTTTTTTTTTAAATTTACTTTTTTTTTATTCCTTTATTTATTTATTTATTATTTTTTTATTATACTTTAAGTTCTAGGGTACATGTGCACAACGTGCAGGTTTGTTACATATGTATACTTGTGCCATGTTGCTGTGCTGCCCCCATCAATTCGTCAGCACCCATCAACTTGTTATTTACATCAGGTATAACTCCCAATGCAATCCTTGCCCCCTCCCCACTCCCCATGATAGGCCCCGGTGTGTGATGTTCCCCTTCCCGAGTCCAAGTGATCTCATTGTTCAGTTCCCACCTATGAGTGAGAACATGCGGTGTTTGGTTTTCTGTTCTTGTGATAGTTTGCTAAGAATGATGGTTTCCAGCTGCATCCATGTCCCTACAAAGGACACAAACTCATCCATTTTTATGGCTGCATAGTATTCCATGGTGTATATGTGCTCACCCGGCCTTTTAAAATGTTTTTAATAGAGATGAGGACTTGCTATGTGGCCCAGGCTGGTCTTGAACTCCTGGGCTCAAGCAGTCCTCCCGCCTCAGCCTCCCCAAGTGCTGGGATTACAGGTGTGAGCCACCGCACTCAACCTGAAATTTTTTGGTTATGAAGGAAAACTGTCTTAAACAGTAATAGCAAGTTTGTTATAAGGTACATACACAAAAGGCCTGACACAGTGGCTCACGCCTGTAATCCCAGCACTTTGGGAGGCCGAGGTGGGCCAGGTCACTTACTTGAGCTCAAGAGTTCGAGACTAGCCTGGGCAACATGACAGAATACAAAAATTAGCCGGGTACAGTGGTGTGCACCTGTAATCCCAGCTACTTGGGAGGCTGAGGCAGGAGAATCGCTTGAACCTGGAAGGCTGAGGCAGGAGAATCACTTCAGCCCAGGGGCAGAGTTTGCAGTGAGCCATGATCGCACCACTGCACTCCAGCTTGGGTGAAACCCTGTCTTTTTTTTTTTTTTTTTTTTTTTTTGAGACGGAGTCTCGCTCTGTCACCCAGGCTGGAGTGCAGTGGCCGGATCTCAGCTCACTGCAAGCTCCGCCTCCCGGGTTTACGCCATTCTCCGGCCTCACCCTCCCGAGTAGCTGGGACTACAGGCGCCTGCCACCTCGCCCGGCTAGTTTTTTGTATTTCTTAATAGAGACGGGGTTTCACCGTGTTAGCCAGGATGGTCTCGATCTCCTGACCTCGTGATCCGCCCGTCTCGGCCTCCCAAAGTGCTGGGATTACAGGCTTGAGCCACCGCGCCTGGCCAGAAACCCTGTCTTAAGAAAAAAAAAAAAAATACATGCACAAGATTCCAGAGAAAGCTATATAGTTTCTCCTTAGGGAGGGCAGAAATAATAGTCAAACCAGACTGCAGAAAGCAGAGTCTCAGTAGTTGAGTAACGTATCAAACTCTTTTTTTTCATTTTTTTCTGAGATGGAGTGTTGCCCTATCACCCAGGCTGGAGTGCAGTGGCGCGATCTCAGCTCACTGCAATCTCCGTCTGCCGGATTCAAGCGATTCTCCTGCCCCAGCCTCCCGAGTAGCTGGGATTACAGTCATGCACCACCACGCCCAGCTAATTTTTGTATTTTTAGTAGAGATGGGGTTTTACCATGTTGGCCAGGCTGGTCTCGAACTCCTGACCTCAGGTGATCCACCCGCCTCGACCTCCCAAAGTGCTGGGATTACAAGCGTGAGCCACTGCGCCCGGCCAGGTATCAGACCCTTAACTCACTCAGCTACTCTCTGTCTTCTTTTCCAATTGACCAAGATTTCCCATTTCTTCTAAATTTCCAAGAGAGGAACCCAGCCCAGTGCAGCCTTCCACCCGACACTGTACCAGCAGCTGCCAGCCTACATATTGCCCGTCCTTTGATCAGGTGGCCAGACCTCAAGGGGCCACCTCTAAACACAGACCAGCCGGCTCAGCCCTGCTTTCCTGAACTGGAGCCTACAGATAACACTACTTAAGATAGATAGGGGCCGGGTGCGGTGGCTCGCACCTATAATCCCAGCACTTTGGGAGGCTGAGGTGGGCGGATCATGAGGTCAGGAGATCGAGACCATACTGGCTAACACCGTGAAACCCCGTCTCTACTGAAAATATGAAAAATTAGGCCGGGCGCGGTGGCTCAAGCCTGTAATCCCAGCACTTTGGGAGGCCGAGACGGGTGGATCACGAGGTCAGGAGATCCAGACCATCCTGGCTAACACGGTGAAACCCCGTCTCTACTGAAAACATACAAAAAACTAGCCAGGCGAGGTGGCGGCGCCTGTAGTCCCAGCTACTCAGGAGGCTGAGGCAGGAGACTGGTGTGAACCCGGGAGGTGGAGCTTGCAGTGAGCCGAGATCGCGCCACCGCACTCCAGCCTGGGCAAAAGAGGGAGACTCCGTCTCAAAAAAAAAATAGACGGGAAGCTTGGATGTGCCGAGAATCATGATCCAGCTTGACATCTCCAGTGTGACTGTACTGACAACAGATACAGCTATTATTAGAAAAGCGGCATTTGCAGTCTTTCTATTTTATGATCTTCATTTTAGCAGAAAATGTTTTTTGACTCAATCCATTCATTATACTTTTCTTAATTTTTTTGATTAGCTCTCTTGAGAGGGAGGAAGCCAGGTGTTAGCTAAACCGAGTTTTTATAGACAGATGAATATTAAATGTGGCTTCACTGAACTACACACGCTTAGCTCATTTGATCTTCTCACATCAGGTTATCTAGAATTTGTCAGCCTATTTTGATGTGCGTGTTTATGTTTAATTCAGCAGGCAGGTTATATGGAATATAGGTATCTCAGCAGACATGTTTTGGCCAAGATTCCCTTCCCCATCCTGAAGCACATGGAACATGTAAAAATAGGACTGGCCTGGTCCCGTGAAACTACTAAATCACATTTCAAGTTGGCCTGTGTTCTCCTCTGCCCTCCTTTGCTTCTTTGAGCCGTTGCTACCATCTAAAATACAGCTGTTGAGTGTTTTTCCAGAATTATGTTATCCTTTGGGTACACTCACTTGCATTTTCTAATATACTTATTTTGTTCTGTTTTTCTGAACATAAAAATATATGGGGCTTCCCTATTAAATGGCAGAAAGTTACCAACTCTTGATTCCATATCTTGCCTTTAAAATACTTAATAGGGCCGGGTGCGGTGGCTCATACCTATTATCCCAGCACTTTGGGAGGCCAAGGCGGGCAGATCACGAGGTCAAGAGATAGAGACCATCCTGGCCAACGTGGTGAAACGCCATCTCTACTAAAAATACAAAAATTACCTGGGCATGGTGGCGCGCACCTGTCGTCCCAGCTACTCGGGAGGCTGAGGCAGGAGAATTGCTTGAACCTGGGAGGTGGAGGTTGCAGTGAGCCGAGATCGTGCCACTGTACTCTAGCCTGGTGACAGAGCGAGATTCCGTCTCAAAAAAAAAAAAAAAGAATACCTGAAGCCAGCCGCAGTGGCTCACGCCTTTAATCCCAGCACTTTGGGCTGCTGAGGTGGGCAGATCGCTTGAGCTGAGGAATTTGAGACCATCCTGGGCAACATGGTGAAACCCCGTCTCTACTAGAAATACAAAAATTAGCCAGGCGCGGTGGCATGCACCTGTAGTCCCAGCTACTTGGGAGGCTGAGACAGGAGAATTGCTTGAACCCAGAAGGCGGAGGTTGCAGTGAGCCGAGATCACGCCACTGCAATCCTGCCTGGGTGTCAGAGCAAGACTCCGTCTCAAAAAAAAAAAAAAAAAAAAAAGCCAGGCAGGCACTGTGGCTCACACCTGTAATCCCAATAGTTTAGGAATTGAGGAAGGAGGATCACTTGAAGCTACAAGTTTGAGATCAGTCTGGGAAAGAGAGTGAGACCCCCATCTCTACAAAATGTAAAATAAAAAGGCTAGTCATGGTGGCATCCACCCGTAGTCCCAGCAACTCAGGAGGTTGGCCCA